ATATATATATATATATATATATATATATATATATACGCATATATATGCGATGGAATATTACTCAGCCATAAAAAAGAATGAAATCGAAAGAAAAAATTTAAAAAATAAAAAGAATGAAATATTGTCACTTGCAATGACATGGATGCAACTATAAAGTATTATGTTAAGTGAAATAGAGAAGGACAAATACCCTATGATTTTACTCAAGTGGATTTTGAGAAACGAAACAAATGAGCAAAGGGAAAACATAGAGGCAAACCAAGAGACTCTTTTTTTTTTAATTTTTTTAACGTTTATTTATTTTTGAGACAGAGAATGAATGGGGGAGGGTCAGAGAGAGAGGGAGACACAGAATCCGAAACAGGCTCCAGGCTCCGAGCATTCAGCACAGAGCCCGAGGTGGGGCTCGAACTCACGGACAGTGAGATCGTGACCTGAGCCGAAGTCGGACGCTTAACCGACTGTGCCACCCAGGCGCCCCAAGAGACTCTTAATTACAGAGAACAAACTGATGGTTATCAGAGGGAAGGTTGGTAGGGGGATGAGTTAAATAGGTGATGGAGATTAAGGAGGGCACTTGTGATGAGCATCAGGTGATGTATAGAATTACTGAATCACTATATTGTACACATGAAACTAATATTACACTGTATGTTAACTAATTGGAATTTAAATTAAAACTTAAAAAAAAAACTAAGAAAAATGTCTATATGCTACTTTATGTATAATGGATCAATTTGGTCCAATGTACAATGTTTTATAGTATAGAGAATATGGTGACCGTTCAGCTATTTGCTTTATATTAATAAGCACCTTGAGTTGCCATAGCAAATATTACTATTCTTGACAAATCACTTTGACAAATCACATATATTTTACTTTATGGAATTTTTTTTAAGTTTATTAATTTACTTTGAGAGAGAGAGCATGAGCAGGAGAAGGGCAAAGAGAGAGGGAGAGTCCCAAGCAGACCGCGCTGCCAGCGCCAAGAGTCAAATGCGTAACCAACTGAGCCACCTAGAAATAAAGTTTTTTAAATGATGCTTTTTATTAGTTAACCTTTGAGGCACTGAGTTAATGATTTTCACTCTTTTCAATAAAAGAGAAGTGAGCAGATGGGGCGCCTGGGTGGCTCAGTAGGTTAAGCGTCCGACTTCGGCTCAGGTCATGATCTCGCAGTCCGTGAGTTCGAGCCCCGTGTTGGGCTCTGGGCTGATGGCTCAGAGCCCGGAGCCTGTTTCAGATTCTGTGTCTCCCTCTCTCTCTGACCCTCCCCCGTTCATGCTGTGTCTCTCTCTGTCTCAAAAATAAATAAATGTTAAAAAAAATTAAAAAAAAAAGAAGTGAGCAGAAAGCTGTTTACCATTTACTCATCTCTGTTAGATGGATTGGGAGTGATTTGTCTTATTTGTGATTTGTTTCCAAACTTCCTGTAAAGTTTCCTCCAAATTTTCTGCTTAAAATGTCTGTAAAAAGGCAAAAAAAAAAAAAAAAAGGTTTTAAATTCATTTATAAAAACAGGAGGATAACAAAATCATAGGTATGAGTATGTGCTGGGATGGTGATTATTATTTCTTAATTCCAAATATTGAATATTAATCCTACTGCTCTCCTTTCCACCAGGTTGTGTTTGTCATTTTGGCGTTTTTAACAGGTGTACTTTGTTCTTACCCTAATCCAATTGAGGACAAGTGCCCAGGAAACTATACCAACCCATTGAAAGTTCAGACAGTCATAATCCTTGGGAAAGTTATTTTGTGGATTCTGCACTTCCTTCTTGAGCGCTACATCCAGTATCACCACAACAAAGTAAGAAACCGAGGCTATAACATGATCTACCTGTCGACAAGACATCTTAAAGGACTTGCCCTGATGATCCACTCCACTGGTAAGTCTGGCTCAGCTGGTCTGTGGCTTGCGTCAGTGGCAGAAATGATAGCAGAAAGAAAACGTGAAATTTGAATTTATAATCCAATATATTCTCTCATTTTTGTGAGATGTGTGTGGTGGCCACTAAAATTGGGATCACCTTAATGTCTTGAAGCTTTTTAAATAATATATTACAGCTTTAACTTTTCTTTGACATCTGTGTTTACTATTCTAGGGGAGGGAAAAAATTTTTCCCTCTACCCTTTTAGGTAGATTCTTTTCTTTTCTTTTTTTTTTTTTTTTCCCTGAGCCAGCCAGATGCCCCTGACATTTTAATTTAACTTTAATTCCCATATAGTTAGCATACAATGTTATAGTAGTTTCAGGTGTACAATATAGTGATTCAACACTTCCTTACATCACCTGGCGCTCATCATGACAAGTGCCCTCCCTAACTCTCATCACCTATTTCCCCCATCTCCCTAACTCTGTTCCCCTCTGGTAACCATCAGTGTGTTCCCTATGGTTAAGAGTCTGTTTCTTGGTTTGCCTCTCTCAAAAGACCTTCTTTTTCAGTTTGAGTCCAGAATAAATGCTTACACATTTTGAAACCAGATTCGAAATTATTTTTTTTCCTAGAAAAACAGCTGTACAGAATTTAATTTTTATTTTTTTCTATGCTCTATTAGTATTTTTCTATTTATTTATTTATTATTTTATTTAAATCCAAATTAGTTAACACATAGTATAATAATGATTTCAGGAGTAGAACCCAGCGATTCATCACTTCCATATAACACCCAGTGCTCCTCCCAACAAGTGCCCTCCTTAATGCCCATCACCCATTTAGCCCATGCCCCCACCCAACACCCCAGCAAGAATCCTCAGTTTGTTCTCCGTATTTAAGAGTCTTTTATGGTTTGTCTCCTTCTCTGTTTTTATATTATTTTTGCTCCTCTTCCCTTATGTTCATCTATTTTGTTTCTTAAAATCCACACGTGAGTGAAATAAAATGATATTTGTCTTTCTCTGACTGACTTATTTCACTTAGCATAATACACTCTAGTTCCACATAGCTGCAAATGGCAAGATTTCATTCTTTTTGATTGCTGAGTAATATTCCAGTGTATGTATATACCACATCTTCTTTATCCATTCATCAGCTGATGGACATTTGGGCTCGTTCCATTCTTTGGCTATAGTTGATAGTGTTGCTGTAAACATTGGGGTGCATGTGCCCCTTCGAAACAGCACTCCTGTATCCTTTGGATAAATTCCTAGTAGTATAATTGCTGAGTCGTAGAGTAGTTCTATTTTTAACTTTTTGAGGAACCTCCATACTGTTTTCCAGAGTGGCTGCACCAGTTTGCATTGCCACCAGCAGTGCAAAAGGGTTCCTCTTTCTCCACACCCTCACCAACATCTGTTATTGTCTGAATTATTAATTTTAGCCATTCTGACAGGTGTGAGGTGGTATCTCATTGTGTGTGTGTGTGTGTGTTTCCATTGTGGTTTTGATTTGTATTTCCCTGATGATGAGTGATGTTGAGCATTTTTTCATGTGTCAGTTGGCCATCTGGATGTCTTCTTTGGAGAAGTGTCTATTCATGTCTTTTGCCTCTTTCTTCATTGGATTATTTGTTTTTTGGGTGTTGAGTTTGATAAGTTCTTTAAGGATTTTGGATACTAATCCTTTCTCTGGTATGTCATTTGCAAATATCTTCTCCCATTCTGTCATTTGCCTGTTAGTTTTGCTGATTTTTTCCTTTGCTGTGCAGAATCTTTTTATCTTGATGAGGTCCCAATAGTTCATTTTTGCTTTTGTTTCTTTTGCCTCCAGAGACATGTCAAGTAAGAAATTGCTGCAGCCAAGGTCAAAGAGGTTGTTGCCTGTTTTCTCCTCTAGGATTTTGATGGTTTCCTGTCTTACGTTTAGGTCTTTCATCCATTTTGAGTTTATTTTTGTGTATGGTGTAAGAAAGTGGTCCAGGTTCATTCTTCTGCATGTCGCTGTCCAGTTTTCCCAGCACCACTTGCTGACGAGACTGTCTTTCTTCCATTGGATATTCTTTCCTGCTTTGTCAAAGATTAGTTGGCCATACGTTTGTGTGTCCATTTCTGGGTTCTCTATTCTGTTCCATTGACCTGAGTGTGTTTTTGTGCCAGTACCGTACTGTCTTGATGATTACAATTTTGTAATACAGCTTGAAGTCTGGGATTGTGATGCCTCCAGCTTTGGTTTTCTTTTTCAGGATTGCTTTGACTATTCAGAGTCTTTTCTGGTTCCATACAAATTTAGGATTGTTTGTTCTAGCTCTGTGAACAATGCTGGTGTTATTTGGTTAGGGATTGCATTGAGTAAGTAGATTGCTTTGGGTAGTATGGACGTTTTAACAATATTTGTTCTTCCAATCCATGAGCATGGAATATTTTTCCATTTTTTTGTGTGTGTCTTCTTCAATTTCTTTCGTAAGCTTTCTATAGTTTTCAGTGTATAGATTTTCCACCTCCCTGGTTAGATTTATTCCTAGGTATTTGATGGTTTCTGGTGCAATTATAAATGGGATCAATTCCTTGATTTCTTTTTCTGCTGCTTCATTATTGGTGTATAGAAATGCAACTGATTTCTGTACATTGGTTTTATCTCTTGCAACTTTGCTGAATTCATGTATCAGTTCTGGCAGCTTGTTGATGGAGTCTTTTAGATTTTCCACATAGAGTATCCTGTCATCTGCGGAGAGTGAAAGTTTGACTTCCTCCTTGCTAGTTTGGATACCTTGTATTTCTTTGTGTTGTCTGATTGGTGAGGCTAGGACTTCTAACGTTATGTTGAATAACAGTGGTGAGAGTGGACATCCTTGTCATGTTCCTGACCTTGGGGGGAAAGCTCTCAGTTTTTCCCCATTGAGGATGACATTAGCAGTGGGTCTTTCATATATGGCTTTTCTGATCTTGAGGTATGATCCTTCTATCCCTACTTTCTTGAGGATTTTATTAAGAAAGGATACTGTATTGGGGCGCCTGGGTGGCGCAGTCGGTTAAGCGTCCGACTTCAGCCAGGTCACGATCTCACGGTCCGTGAGTTCGAGCCCCGCGTCAGGCTCTGGGCTGATGGCTCGGAGCCTGGAGCCTGTTTCCGATTCTGTGTCTCCCTCTCTCTCTGCCCCTCGCCCGTTC